CAGTTGCCGTCCCCAAGGCCTGACGGGAGGAAGTGACTCACAGACAACTTCAGTAACTCTCTGGGGCTGAGTTCCAGGCCAAGGGAATGGAGGCCAAGGCCCAGGGGCGGGGCCTGGCTGACCCTGACCCTCCTGTGCCCCCAGGCCCTGAGTCCCCGTACACGCACTGGAAGCAGACAGTGTTCTACATGGAGGACTACCTGACGGTGAAGACGGGCGAGGAGATCTTTGGCACCATCGGCATGCGGCCTAACGCCAAGAACAACGTGAGCCCCAGCACAGGGGGTGGGGTGGGCTGGGGGCACCTCTACCTTCTGGGGGTCCCACTCTGTCCACACAGCAGGATTTATTGAGACTCTGCTAGAAGCCAGGCCTGGAACCCAGGCCAAACCCTTGCCTTCCTGAGGCTTCTGTTCTGGGGAGTCGGGGGGTCGTCTAGGGACAAGGTGGATGCCATCTGGAGGTGACCTGTGTCAGGCTGGGGGCAGAGCTCACAGGCGCTGTGTGGACGGGACAGGCTTCAGGTGGGAGGCGCCCCAGTGGGGCCAGCAGGGTTTCCTAGCCCAGGTGCAAGGAGAAAGGCTTTTTTTCTCCCATCCTTTTTCCTCCTGAACATTGACCAGATGAAGCTGTCATCACCCGAGACAACGGGGCTTCCCTGGGAGTGGGTTCGGGTAAAGCCAGGGGTCCAGCATGGCAGCCTGAGGGGTAGACACGCCGAGTGGGTAGGAGAACAGAAGGCCCAGAATCCAGAGCCGAGGGCATCAGGGGTGTCAGTCTTGAGGCTGGACAGTGTTGGGTAGGGATGGGGCACCCCAGGGCACACCCACTTTCTAAACCAGGGAGAAGAACCAGGGGGGACTTCACTGCCCCCCACAGAGGGCAGCTGTCACTCCTGGAGAAGGGGTGCTCCTGGCATCTAGTGGTACACATCTCACTACCACCTGACAGCCCCGTAGCAAAGACTCATCCTGCCTCCAGGGGAGGAACCCCAGATGGAAGAACCACAGAAAGACATCTGGAGAGGGAGGAGACTTTGGGGCCACCAAGTTCTGTGCAGAGTTTGCTGGAGGAGGAAGTGAGCTAGAAGAGGTTTTCTTTTTCTTTTTCCTTTTTTTTTTTTGAGCCAGGGTCTCACTTGTTGCCTGGGCTGGAGAACAATGGCATGATCGTGCTCACCTCAGCCTCAGCCTCCCAAGTAACTGGGACTGCAGGCATGCAACATCACACTCGGCTAATTTTTTATTTGGTGGGGTAGAGATAAGGTCCCACTATGTTGCCTAGGCTGGTCTCAAACTCCTGGGCTCAAGCATTCCTCCCACCTCAACCTCCCAAAGTGCTGGATTACAGGCATGAACCACCACACCTGGCCTGTTTTCTCTTTTTGAAAGAATCAAGAGGCCAGGTTCAGTGGCTCAGCCTGTAATCCTAGCACTTTGGGAGGCTGAGGTGAGTGGATTATCTGAGCCCATGGGTTTGAGACCAGCCTGGGCAACTTGGCGAGACCTGGTGTCTACAATTAAAAAAAAAATGGCCAGGCTCGGTGGCTCAGCCTGTAATCCCACGCCTTTGGGAGGCTGAGGTGAGTGGATTGCCTGAGCCTGCGGGTTTGAGACCTGTCCGGGCAATTTGGTGAGACCTCATCTCTACAATAAATCAAAAAATCAGCCGGGCGTGGTAGTGCATGCCTGTAATTCCAGCTGCTTGGAAGGCTGAGGTGGAAGGATCGCCGGAGCCCAGCAGGTCGAGGCTGCGGTGGCCGGGAGCGGCCAGTGCACTCCAGTCTGGACGACAGAGTGGGACTCCAACTCAAAAAAAAAAAAAAGAATTAATGAAGAAATAGCTGCTTTGCTGATAGGAATGGTCTCTGTGAGAAAAGCTTACAGTGCCAGGGATGGCGGCTAGGCTCTGCTCCCGAGGGGTTGGGGTGGGTTTGAGGCTGTCCATGTGGTACTGTCGCTTGAGTCAGGGTTCAGAGCAGCTGTTGGGGGCGACCAGCAGTTGGAGTCCCCACCATGGCGGTCAGCTGAGAGCAGGACTCCACGGGGTCTCGAGACCTTGCATTGCAGCCCTGAGTCCTGGCCTCACACCCACCCTCTCCCCACAGCGGGACCTGGACTTCACCATCGACCTGGACTTCAAGGGCCAGCTGTGTGAGCTGTCCTGCTCTACCGACTACCGGATGCGCTGAGGCGGCCCAGCTCTCCCGCCCTGCATGGGCCCAGGGGCTGTGCGTTCTTAGGCGGTTTCGGGGCTCCTCCTTCTCTCCCTTCCTCCCACAGAAGGGGGTTTTAGGGGCCTGGGCTGGGGGGATGGGGAGGGCACATCGTGACTGTGTTTTTCATAACTTATGTTTTTATATGGTTGCATTTACGCCAATAAATCCTCAGCTGGGATCCGCCTTGGCTTCCTGGGGGCAAAGTGGGGGCTTGGGGTTCCCTTCACAGGTGCAGAGGTGCCAACCTGTCTGCCGCTGACTGAGTTCAGAGGGGTCTCTGTCCCCTCTGGCTTGCTCCCATCCTGGTCCCTTCTTGGTCCTGCTCTCCTCATGCCTCCCCTGGGGCCTCTGCCCCCTCCCCCTGTGCCCTCCTGCACTACGAACAGGGTTCCTACTGCTAGCTGCCCTTTGGGCCTGGGGGTGGGGGTAGCTTCCCAGCACAGCAGGGCCCTTGAATTCCCAGAAAACTGTCTCCCACGCCCCTCCCACAACACTCACATTGTTCCTCTCTGGCTGTTTTTTCCTGTCTAGGACCCTCCAAGGCCAGCCAGGGCTGACTGGCAATGAGTAGTACCCAGCCCTCTGCAGCTGGGGAAACTGAGTCGTGGGAGGGAGTGTCAGTCGGGGATGGTACAGTTGCTTGTGTGGGTGTGTCTGCTCTCTTCCCCAGAATGGCCTGGAGCTTGGGGTTGGGGAGTTGCCCCCCATAGAGGTCAATGAGTCACAGCTTTAAGGTGGCCTACCCATTTTACAGAGACAAACACTGAGGCCCTGCTTGCCCTCTTATGGCTCCCTGCTCAGCCTATGTGGTGGGCATGGTGTCTACACTTGCTCTTCCACTTCCAGGGGCTGTCTACAGTCCCTGGTCCCCCAGCTCACGGTCCACACGGCCTGCATTGCCCAGGACACAGCCTTTCCAAAGCTCTGGCTGGGTCGACTTCAGTCCGGCTGGAGTCCTGGGCCTGCTACACCTCACGCCTGTCACAGTCTCTTCTGGGACCGGACACAGCACTGCTAGTGCCCAGTTGCCTTTTGTCCACACTCCCCTGGGCGGCCAGGTCTGCACCACATTCCCTAGCCCCTTCTCTGGAAGTCCCCTGAGACTCGGGTGGCTCCACCACTGGCACCCAGACCGGACCCTGCGCCTCCCCACCCCCACTCCTTTCCAGGAAGCCTGCTGATGTGTGGCCACCCGCAGGTGTCACTGGCCCGCCCCACATCCCTACCCTTTAAAGAAGTTCCGTCTCCCGAGACAGCGCCGCCGCCTGTCAGGCGCACCCAGTGAGGTCTCCGAGGCCGCGGCGCTGGAGGCGGGGAGCCCCTCTGGAGTGGTGTGGCCTCTTCTACTAGGAGCCTTTCGGCCTCAGTCTTCTGCACCTGGGAAGTGGGGGCTGGCCCTGGCTCCTCGCTCTAAAGCC